TCCGCCTCCTGGGTTCAGGCAATTCTCCTGCCTCAGCCTCCTGAGTAATTAGCATGGCTTTTAACAGAATTCACTTGAGTGCTGTTTCTTTTCCACCATGAGGTTGGATTCTGGTCATATCAAAACGATGCAGAGACACAGCCCAAGAGTGCAATCTTTCAGAGATATATGTCAGTTAGGGTGTTAAAAAGTGGGGCCTGACAGTCATTGTCAAGACAAATGATCAGTCTCTGACTTATAACCCAGAACAGTGTTCCTGTGTCTCCTGTGCTTTAGTCACAATCATGTTCCTCTGCAGTGAGCAGGGTTACTCATCTCTCTTTGACTTGGCACCGGGACACTTGGCCATTTGTAACATTTTGCTCCTTTCTCCCAAAAGATAATGAGTTACTATGTTTCTAAATAAGGTTTTGAAAAGTTAGGATTATTTTAATCACCTTCCTCTCCAACCTGTTCTTCCTCCTGCTGGCCAGATTCATATGTGAGTGCTTGTTGTATCTTCTGTTTAACACCTACAAAATGCCTACAGAATAACTTGTTTTGGCCCTTACTTTGGTCTGGGAGTTCAGAGACTAGTGCATTGCACAGAGGGAGCCATACTAGGTTCATAAGTAGCCAGACTGCCTGGGTTGAAAAGTTCTACTGATAGTCTGTAGGACTTTGGTTAATCACTTAGCTTTTCTGAGTTTTGCTTTTCCCACCTAACAACTACCTTAATTTGTTTATATCCTGGAGCAGTGGTTCTTAAGCATTTTGGTTTTAGGACCCCTTTATACTTTTAAAAATTATTGAGGACCCCAAGGAACTTTGCTTATATGAATGATATCTAGCATATTGTGGTATCAGAATAATGGTCTAGTGGCCCCCAAGATGCATCACCTAGTTCTCAGTAGCTGTGAATATGTTGCCTTACATGTCAAAAGACAGATGTGATTAAGCTAAGGATCTTGAGGTAGGGAGCACATCCTGAACTGTCCAGGTGGGTCTTGTGTAATCATAAGAGCCCGTATAAGACTTTTAGCACTGCTGGGCTAGAGCATAGCCACATAGCTACCCCTAGCTGCAAAACACTCTGGGAACTATGGTTCTTTTTCTGGGTATCAGTTAAAAGAACTGGGGGTTCTGTTATAAGGAAGAATGAGAAAATGGATATTAAGGGATATTTTGCAATCTCAAAGACTTACCATGTCAAGATTTGATACACATGGTAGAGACAATCACAAAAATGTTAGCTTTTCTTCTTGCCCTTTTATGAGTTTGGAAAAATGGACATTTCACTCAGATTGCATCATTTAGAAATACCTATGACAAAAGACAATGACATGTAGGCAGAGGCATACTTGCAATGAGCTGCATTTTTAGCATTTGTAGATAAAGTATATGAAATATCTTTTGTTTGGTGCTCACAGGCAGCTTTGTCATATCTTGTTTGGGTCTTTTGAAATTAACAATATGCCTCCTTTCCTTTGGTAGGAGGAAAGTTGGAATTGAAGTGAGATTTAAGACTCAGCTTTGATTCATAGCTATTCTTCATGGATTTGAAAATGCATGAAGTGTGACGTTTTATTCCGGGTCATTTTGTGAATAGTCTTTGCTGCTCCCTGGCAGTGCCCTGTTGCTGAAGAATAACCCAGTTCTAGTTTCTGATGTGAAACAGCAGTTAGGATTATTTGTGCTAAAATACCTTATTATTTTTTTAAATGTACATAAATACTATGAATCAGTCTGGGCCTAAGTGGCTTAATTTTGAGCTTAATATAAAGCTGAATGCTGATTTTATTAATTGATGAATATGCATTTAATGCATTTTTAGTGCTGTCCTCATCTTTAGATACATTATTATAATAGCTTTTGAGTGAACGAGAGCTTGGAAATATTAACGTACTGTCTGGTCTGGAGCTATTATTTCAGTCTCTGGGTTAGAAGAAGCCTTTGTGTCATTCACACCAGGGACTGTGCATTTCCTAGCTAAACTGGTTTGGAACGGCAGTTTTGACTTGATATGGAGGTGGAGAGGAAACATTGAAGGTAGTTTTGAAGCCTCAAGCACTCTTAGGGGGAAGGGGCACTTGCACTTGTTTGGGAGCTACAACATGACCTTTGGGTGACCAGAAGGCTGCACCAGTGTCTGGTGACTTTCCCAAACTGGAGCTGAGAGGGGCAGTTCTACCTGCTTTGCTGTTTTTCCCAGAGGCCATTGAAAACCATCTTGCGGTCGCCAGTTTCTATTTTACTTTGTGGTTTACTGTGTTACCAGGAAGCAAGGTTCTTCTTGGTAGAAACCTTAGTGAGGACAGAGAGAGTGTAAGGAATTGGTTTAGCTGGAACTTGAGTGACTGGGGACCTGCTGGTAATTAACACTTTGCATCCAAGAAGCTCAGTGTTTTTGGAAAATAGCATTTGCTATCCACCTGAGGCATACTGCAAAAATTGCAAGTGAAACTTGTGAAAAGATGTCTCTACTTCATTTTGGGGTATATTTCAAACCACTGTCTGGGAGCTCTCAGGGCTAGCTGTCCTCAAGATTTGTAGTGGGTAAGTGTGGCTGGCTACAGGGCCCCACATCTTTCCATAGTTCATATATCACCCCAGTTACTGCAAGGTGCAAAGGCCAGAGAAAATCCTGCTGAAAAGCCAGTGGTTTTAGAAATATGAGCTGGAATAATTGTCTGATAGTTTTAAATTTGGGTTGTAAAACAATTAGTGTTTTGATCTGGGGGTCCTTGCATTTACTAATCACTAAAATATTTCTACATATGGAAGGCTCAATTAGTGCAGGGCCGAGAACAGTGTCACCTTTTCCTATCAACTGTTGGGCAGCCTGCGAACTTCTGCATAGCTGGCTCAGGAGGCATTGCAGGATGGGAGCCAGGCCTCATGGGCCTGCAAACCCAGGTTATTGCCTTGTGTACAGAGGGCCCCCAGAACACCCATAAGGTTCTGGAAATGGTATGTGACAGTTGAAATCCTTGATCTCATTTCTTATTAATTTCCTAGCTGACTTCCATAGCAGCTGTTGCAAATGCTTGCTTCTTTTTGAGTTCCTAGTCTCCCATAGCCCTGCTCTTGGCAAATGCCCATAGAAACAAAGTCATGGAGACAGAGACAGAGGCCTTTCTCTCGCTCCTTCCCGCTTCAGAGCATGTCTGCTTTTTTCCCCTGACAGGTGATAAGCTAGTTTGGTTCTGAGTGCTATCACATATGGACAAGTCTTGTTTCCTGCTCCCTCTGTCCTGCGTCTGCCCTCTCTCACGTGACCAAGCGTCCTGTTGCTATATTCAGCTACTCTATGGTATGCTTCTTGAACTAGTTATCCCTCCCCCTGCCTTTGATTGGTATCTTTCCTATTATGACCCATCTGTCTCATGGTCCACTCCCTCAAAGTCCTACTGTAGACATTGTAATCTGAAGTCATATCTTGTATGTAAACATTCATGGAATGTTTATTGTCATCTACTGTATGCATGGGAGCTGAGGGTACAGATGCTAGGATCTACAGAAATGAGTCAGACTCTTTGGGCTATTAGTATAAAATGGAGAGAGAGACATGGGACAATGGCATTAGAGATGAGTGACAAAAATATGTACAGGTTAGAAGGGGAGAGGGGCAGTGTGCCTTGAAATATTTTATATGTGTGGATCCCTCAGACAAGAGGAGAGGATCATGCTGGAGCCTAAAGTCAGTGATGGATTACTGTGTTCCCACTTTCTGATGGGATTTCATTGTGACTCATCTAGAGCAGAGGGAGACCTCTAAAACTACAAGATCTCCAATAGTAGCATTTGGCTCACTGTGGCAGGTGGTTGCAAAGAACCTTTTAAGGCATAAATAGGCCTATGGGTGTCCCTAAGGTAACATCACATGGATAATTGCCAATTCTGTATATCTTTTGGGCTAGACTCTGAGTTAAGGAGAAGATAGGAAGTCTTCAGTGACATTCTTAAGCCCTGAGCATCTTCCTTATATTCTGCTTTAAGAACTTGTTAGTTACTGTACTTGATATTCAGTGGCTCTGTGCTTGGATGTCCTGGTCCCACAGAGGACCTTGAATACCCTGTCTCAGTTTGGGCCTTACTTACAAGGACCTTCCTCCCTGTCTTAACCAGATTGTGTTTTAACCTTTAAAAAGTTCGATGTACTCACTTTTTACTTTTTGTTCATGGATAGTGTTTGTCCTTGTGTGTGTGTGTGTGTGTGTGTGTGTGTGTATCAATGAGTGAGTGAGTGAATATCTGTCATGCTCTTAATTTGTTTAAAGGCAGAAAGTACTGTTCTCTTGTTTGCTGTTTTATCCACTCTGCCTCTACTGGACCTGGCGCATAATAAAGAAAGAGTGAACAGGACAAACATTCATTCTGAAAAGTAAACTTCTCTGGCAATTGTGGTTTGTACCTAGCAGCCTGAGAATAGACAATTGGCTTTTTAATGTGATAAGGGAAAAGGTCAAAAGAAAGTCATATTCATTTACCAAAGTGCTTCCAGCAGATGATATTTATAATCTCAAAAGGGCGTTTTTAATATATAACGTGCTTTGATGGAACAAATTATATATCCTGATTGAGGTAGTTGTTATATAAATCTATATATATGATAAAGTGTGTAAAAAAAACAAACAACAAACACTATGTAAAAACTAGTGAAATCTGAACGTGGTCTGTAGTTTATTAATAGTAATAGTATTGTAAAAAAACCAAACAAACAACAAACACTATGTAAAAACTAGTGAAATCTGAACGTGGTCTGTAGTTTATTAATAGTAATAGTATTGTACACAATGTTAAGTTCATGCTTTTGATAATTGTATTGTTATTATGTAAGATACGGGAGAAGCTGGGTGAAGGATACAGGGGAACATTCTACAATGTTTGTATCTTCTATGTGAATATAGAGTTATTTCAAAATCAAAAGTTAAAAACAACACAGAGATACCACTACACACCTGTTAAAATGAATAAAAAGCAAACAAACAAAACAGAAACAGATAATACCAAGTACTAATAAAGATGCATAGCAACTAGAACTCTCTTACATTGCTGGTGAGAGTGTAAGATGATACAACCACTTTGGAAAATAGGTGGTTTCTTACAAAGTTAAATATGTACCATATAAGCTAGTAGTTTCACTCCTAAGTATTTATCCAAGAGAGTTGAAAACCTCTATTCACACAAAAATGTGTAGGCTAATACTTCTAACAGCTTTATTCATAACTGCCAAAACTGGAAAAAATGTAAATGTCCTTCAACTAATGAATGGGATAAACAATCTGGTATGCCTATCAATGGAATACTGCTCATCAGTAAGAAAGAACAACACAACTGTTTGGATGAATCTCAAATGCATTATGTTATGTGAAAGGAGCCAAACTCAAAAGAATCTGTACTTTATGATTCAATTTAAAGGACATTCTGGAAAAGGCAAAAGTTTAGGGTTAGAAAGTAGATCATGTGATAGGGGAGAAGATTGGCTACAAAGGGCATAGGGAAAATTTTGAGGTAAATGAAATGTTCTATATCTTGATTGTGGTGGTGATTACATGAGTGTGTGTCAAAACTCATTGAACTGTACACTTAAACAGTTGGATTACTGCATGCAAATTATACCTCAATAAGTCTGACTTTAAAATAAAAACAACACCAACAAAAATAAATAAATAATGATGTGCTTTGACTTAAATAACATCAAAGAATCATTGTGTTAGCTCCTTGGATAAGAATTTGTTAAGTCATTAGTTACACAAAATGCCTCATTCAAACACAAAGGTGCAGCCCTTTCAGTACTCTGGTCTCTAATTGGGCAATGGAAGTAAGTATTACTATAGAGGTGGATATTCTAATGATCTTTGTTAAACGGAATGCTGCTGGGAGGTTAAAATAAAAGCTGCTGATTCTAGCTTTAGTGGATATAGGTTTAGTATGTAAATGTATAGTCAAACCTCACTCTATCACCTCTCCCAGTTCCTTTGCTGTTAAAATAGTCATTACTAGAGAAAAGGTTGACTTTTCAGATTCTTTTTAATCTCAGCCATAACAAATGTACTGTGATATATACACACATATGTAAAACAGAGTATCAAATGTCCTACTGGAAAAACCAACATGTTTGATTTGGTGGGAGGAGGAATGCTAATTTCATCACTGTCTAATTTAAATACAACTCACAAATGTTTACAGCAAGAATTGGAGAATTCTAACTGGAAATTTGAAGCTGTTGATCTCCTAAACGGGGTCTCTTGATAATCAACATCCTTTATAAATCAAAGTCAAGATGTAATTTTGAAAGAAAGTTTAAATTCCAAACTCTTGGCTGTAATTTGTGGGGTTGAAGGATATAACTTCTATCCTTATGGGACGGATACTTCAACAATATATGTAAGATTACACAGTCTTTCCCCAACAGGAGATTTCTTGTTTATTTAAAACTGGGACTTACTAAATAGGTTTGAATTTAATGCTATCCGGTAGTCAACTCAGTTGAGCCAGCACTTACCAATAATCATTAACTACATGCCATACCTATGATGAGGTGCTGGGTTTACACAGGAAAATGAGCCCCAAGCCCTGTTTTTAAGAAAATTACCATCCATCAGCGTGGACCAAACCATGCATAGCCAGGTAAACTTCAGCATCAGGGGAGAGGAGAGCCCTAAGGAGGAAGCCACTACATAGGAGGTGACATTTGAGAGCAGAATTTGGTCTAGTGTGAAAGAGAGAAAGCCCAGGGTTTTCTGGCAGAGGCTTAAGAACTTCACTGACAACTTCTTATATTCTGGCAGTTACCCAAAAGTCTGCCCAAAAGAGGTTCTTTCCAACCACCTGCCACAGTGAGTCAAACAAACCCCACTGTTGGCGAGCCTTTACTTACAGAGGTCTCCCTGTGGTCTAGATGAGTCACAATGAAATCCCATCAGAAAGGGGGACATAGTAATCTGGCTTTTGGCTAATGTCTGGCATGACTTCCCTTTTGTCACTTGATATTTTACTGTCACACCAAGAGAGATGTTAACCCCAGTTAACTGATGAGGAGCATGAGCTGAAGCAGCTTGAGTCACTTGCCCTAGGATGCAGCTCTAGGATTCAGTCAATGTTCGACTGTGCTTGTTTTCTACTACATCCCATGTGGCCTACTGGGAGGACATGGAAACCCCGTAGAGTTATGGCCCCTGAATCTCAGTACTCAAGTGTGGTCAGCATGCAAAAATGGTAAATCTTTTAATACTCTTGAATTGTTTAGCTCTTTAAATGTTTCAGGTGCTTTTATATACATTTTCATTTGATTTTTACTTAAAAAACAACTCACAGAATGAATGACTGTGGTTTTAAATACAGCATTGTTGTCATGCAGCCACCTTTGGGGACCCGTGCATTGCTTGAGGTGGCCAGATGCTCTGGCTGAGTGACTGGAGCCAGTAGTAGGGGGTGGGTACATCTTTAATAGATCCCTTGAATTGTCCCTCATGGAACCTGTTGTGGGGGATTAAATGGTTCTCATCCTGTCCCTGACTAAGCTGAGGTTTACTGTAACCAGAGGAACCACTGGCTTGGAGCTCCTGGTTGGATCATAAATTATCTTGGGCATTGCCACTCCAGGGTGTTAGGGTATTGGGGCCTGAGGCCCCTGAAGCCATTTGGGGACTTCTCCATGAGAACTTCTTATCACTAAGTGCATGTAATTGCTGATTTAGTTTGGCTTGACAGGCTCAGTGGTCCTGGTAAGCAGTATTATTATGCTAGGCTATTGGCTGTTAGCTGGTTAATTTGGGGGAAGAAGGAGGTGGTTGGATTTTATGGTAAATTCAGTTGGATGCAAGTGATAGGATTTGCCACAGGGATCATAAAAAGGTGCTGTTCAAAGTGCAGAGGTGAATCTCATGGCTCAGGCCTGATTTCACTCATTCTGCTCTAGGTACAGGATGTGATCATGTGTGCAAAATTGTGCTTTCTGCTGCTTCAGAGTATTTGATAAAGGAATGTCCAAGCCGCCTGCGTATTTAGCCTGTTTAGCTCAGCTCAAATTGGCCTGAGTCCAGGGCCTTGGTGTTCCTGGGTTTCTGTCGCTCAGAAGAGCTGAATGGGAACTCAGAGACAAAGGGGCTTGTTGTGTAAACTCAGACCAGTGGCAGCTGCAAGAAAGAAGAGAGATAAAGTCATTCTGTTTTGCTTTTGCTCAACTCTACATAGTACTTTAGGAGTTTTATAACATTGCAGTATTCCTTAGGAAAGCTTCACTTGACACATTTATTCTCGGGCTTGTAGGGACCCTCTGTGAGGAATGGTTTGATCTGTCAAAAGGATGGCCTGACAGGGATAGGGCTGTTGGCCAGACCTAGCTACCAATGGGCTGCGTGATCTTGTGCCAGTTGCTTTTCCTCTCTGGGCCTATAAGCCTAGAGGAGCTTGGACTAGAGCAGCTGAGTGGTTCCCATTTGGTATCAGCATTCTGGTTTCATTTGGTACTAGAATACTGGGTTGTAACAGCCATACTTGACAAGGATTTTGGAGCCCGACAGTATTGCTTTCTATTCCTGGGTTGAAGCACTTATTCATTTGGATCATGGTGTGGCTGCAAAGATTCTGTTCAGTTAAGTGAGGTCATGTGCATGAAGCACCTAGCAGGGTACCTGGCACCTGGAAAGGGTGCAGCTAATGCTGGCCACTATTAACATTTAAATTATGAGGTACATGCTTGCTGCACTGTCCTTTTACTTCCTATCACAGAGTGAGTGGATCCCATTATCTTTAATTTTAAAAAATTCTGATAATTTTGGTCAAGCAGCGCATCCCTTCAATTTGCTTCTGGAGGACTGACCTGCGTGATCTTAGGAGTGAGTGGGCAGCTCTGCTTTGCTGGCTTCCCTTTTAGTGTGGGATTCTGCAATATGAAATGAAACTGAACAGAAACATGGTCTGAATGGCTCACTTAGGGACTTCATTATCTATGTACGGATTTTTCATAGCTCTGAACTTTGTTTTATTAGGAAGGAAATCTGTGTGGCATAGAAATGACATGGAAAAATGCAACTAAATTTTCTTCTAGCATGAACACAAAAGTGTGAGAAGGAAGGCTTAATTCCTTCTCCACTATTTATTGAACTCTGCTATTTTTCAGTTAATGGAGATGCAAAAATGAGTACAATCAATATGGTCCTTGCTCTCATGGAGATTAGTTTATTGGGGCAGAGCAGGCATTAAATTACAGAAATAATGATTTAATTATACTTGCGACTAGTGCTGGAAAAAGTACAGGGTATAATAAGTGTGTAACGTAGGATCTGCATGTAATGGGATGATCAGAAAACTCACCCTGGGGGAATGACTTTTAGTGAGAGGTCTGAAGGGTAAGAAGGAGAGTATAGATGGGGGAGGCAATTCTCCATGAAGAAGAATGGGAAGATGGAGTAATAGGGAGGGAGAGGAAAGATCACAGCTCAGTTTCAGTCCTGAGCAACTGGGAGAGGGCTGGTACCATCTCTGCAGGTAGAAAATGTTGGTGGATTGTGGTTTGGGTGGGAGTGGGTTCAGCCGGAGACTCTCCTTTCTCTTTAGGGGATGTTCTCCCTCCCCATATAGTGTGTTTTGCTTCCCATTCCTGAGGCCTTTGCTCAGATGGCCCCTCAGGGAGACGTTCCCTGACCACTTCAGTTACATCACCCACTCCCATCCCTGCTCCCCTGGGCTCTGCATCACCTATCACTGCCTGGTGAGTTGCTTGCTGCCAGTGAACTCCTTGAGGGCAGAGGTCTTTGTTTTTCTCTGCTGTATCCATAGCACCTAGAACAGTGCCTGGCATATTGGAAGCCCTCAGTAAATACTTTGGTTATGGTTTTTGTGGTCCTTTTCAAACTTGAGTGACTTTTTAAATTAACCTGAGGCTGGAGAAGAGAAGGGTGTAGGATTACTGTTCATTTGACATATCAGGTCTTTTTTATTTTAAGGTAGGAAGAGTAGAAAAGATGGATTTTCTTCTTCTTTAAAAAAATTCAGTGTTAGACATGATAGAACAGAGCAGCTAGAAAAATGTTTGAATATTAGTTCTTTGCTCATTATAAATTGGTGTAAAAATCTAGCCCTCCGTCTGATATTGACTAGGTTTTTGTGCCAAATTATAACCCATTGTAATTCCTCTAAACTAATTGTTTCTATGGGAGG